ATATATATATATATATATATGAATGAATGACTGGTGAATAGAACAGAGCCACACCATTTTGGGTGTATTTTGTTCTGTTAGAAGAAACTGCCTCGCAAATTTTAAAGAAAGAAAAACATATATATACAAAAATAAGGGTAAACATGATGAAGGGATGGAATATGACTGTAAGGATGAGAATTTAAAAAGATTCTAAAAAAGGAATTAATAAGAAGTGGTTGAAAAAAAGAAAAAAAAGAGGAAAGAATGTGATCAGGCTGGAGACTAAAAGAAAGCCATGCACTAGATTTAGGGTATATTTTAATCTATTAGAAGAAATTGTATCCCAAGATTTTAAAGGAAAAAACCCTATATGTATACAAAAAATAAGGTTAAATACAATGAAGAGATAAAATAGGACTATAACAATGAAAATTAAAAAGGGTTTTTAAAAAGGTATTGAAAACGTAAAGTAGTTGAAGAATGTTGAAATAGGAAAGAGGAAAAATAAAAAAATAGAATAAGAAAAAGATAAAATTAAAAAAAAATTAACTTTGGGCGCCTGGGTGGCTCAGTGGGTTAAGCCGCTGCCTTCGGCTCAGGTCATGATCTCAGGGTCCTGGGATCGAGTCCCGCATCGGGCTCTCTGCTCAGCAGGGAGCCTGCTTCCCTCTCTCTCTCTCTGTCTCTCTGCCTGCCTCTCTACTTGTGATCTCTCTCTGTCAAATAAATAAATAAAATCTTAAAAAAAAAATTTAACTTTGAAGGCTAACATGGGGAAAAAGTCATGAATGCTATGTGTTGCTTTCCCCTAGCTCTGGAGTTCTGCAGTTCTCACTGATAAGTGAACTTGGTCTTGGCTGGATGTTCTTGCTGATCTTCTGGGGGAGGGGCCTGTTGCAGTGATTCTCAAATGTCTTTGCCCAAGGCGGAATTGCACCGCCCTTGCCAGGGGCCAGGCTAAGTAATCTGCTCAGGTTCATCTCGGGAGCTTTTGTTTCCTGAACGCTTTCCATATAGCTTTGGAGGATGGGAATGAAGATGGCAGCATCCTAATCTCCAGCCCCATAGGAGCTGAGAGCTCAGGACCCCACTCCTCAGTCAATCCCTCCTGTCTCCCAGGTCTCTGGCCGCACTCTATGCTCACCTAGCCTGTGACTGAGCATTTCTGTCTCTGGCACATGGCCCCTTTTGGAGTCTCCAAACCCAGCAGATTGCTGCAGTGTGCTCCTGTGGCACTTCTCCCGGTGGACGAATGAGGGTATCTCTCCAGATCTGCCACTTGTGGGGTCCCTGCTCGAAAAGCAGTGGTCTGACTTTGCCTCAGATCATGGTTTATGGCAACCCCGAGCTGAAAGCTCATTCCTTGGCTCCATCTCTGTAGCTGGCTTCCCTACTCCAATACCTGGAAGCTCTGCCACACTCAGACACCCCTGGTCTTTCTGTGACCCTGAAGGTCCTGAGACCTGTGAGGATTCTACCACCCCCCACCCCCCACTTAGCCACTGGAGCTATGTCCCTCCTCGTGGCAGACTTCTTAAAGTTCCAATTTTGTGTTCCCCTGCTCTGCTGCTTACCGGGAGCCGGCCCCTACCCCCGTGGTCAATCTTCCTGTGGCTTTGGATTCACTTCTCTGCATGTCCTACCTTCTGGAAAGTGGTCGATTTTTTGTTCCTGAAATTGCTGCTCTTCTTCTCTTCTCTCTCCTGTTGAGTTTGTAGGTGTTTAGAGTGGTTTGATAACTATCTAGCTAAACTCTCAGCACCTGATGATGTTTAGGTCTCTACTCCTTCACCATCTTGCTCCTCTCTCAGCCTACAGCCCTTTATGGAAAAAGATTTTTTTGGCCCAGTTTGGGTTCAGTGGTAAAGCATACCACTGTCTGTCATTGATGTGGGCATAGGAAAGAACAGAACTCATACCAAAGACTTTCCTTCTCACATTTAAGGGCAGTAGGGTCCTTGTCTTTAGGGAGCTTGCATTCAAATGGGGAAAGCATGATTCATGCCAGGAGCAAGAAAATGAGACAAAAAAGTAAAACACAATTAGGAACCCTTGAACAGTAACCATCCAAACAAGTACAATTGACTATAGGGAAGGCTGAGAACTTGCTAAGTACTTGGAGAAGCCAGAATGCCCTTGCTCAGATGGGGTTGATATGCAACGGTTTTCTGGGGCAGTGCGTTTTGAGTTGGATTGGAAGGCAGCCAGGAGACATGGTGTGAAATTGGAGGGGTAGTCTAGATTAAAGGGAATGTGGGTTTCTGGGTGTTTTTTGACTGTGTTCCCCAAAGTCTCAGCCACCCAGAGTGACCATGCCTTTGACCTCCCTGCAGCGAGGACGTGTGCAAACGTGGCTTCACCGTCATCATCGACATGCGGGGCTCCAAGTGGGACCTCATCAAGCCCCTTCTCAAGACGCTGCAGGAAGCCTTTCCAGCCGAGATCCATGTGGCCCTCATCATCAAACCCGACAACTTCTGGCAGAAGCAGAAGACCAACTTTGGCAGCTCCAAGTTCATCTTTGAGGTGAGCCAGACCTCTCTCATAGCTCCCCCTTTCACTTCCCTTTCTGCTACCCACACATTTCTTGCTTCTGCTTCTCCGCCTATCCTATGATATGCTGCATGGCAAGAGCTGATATTTCAGGATTCCTTGGCTATTGTGGCCTTACCAGTGAGTCTTGTAAGGAATAAGAGGCCCAAGATATTGTCCTGGACTCTTAGCCAGTCCATTGAAACATTGACCTTGGCCAGCTGGTGGCTCCCACTCCACGGGCTGTGTGCTCTTGTACTTGCCCTTTCTAAGGCAGGCTGTGGTCATTAATGTGTGGATGGATCTCAGCCTTTGCCTTTGACTTTCTGCCTACCTCTACCCTGCCTGCCCCTGCATCACTGAGTCCCCCTTTCTGTGTCTGCCCCTCACAGACAAGCATGGTGTCCGTGGAGGGCCTCACGAAGCTGGTGGACCCTTCCCAGCTAACCGAAGAGTTCGATGGCTCCCTGGACTACAACCACGAGGAGTGGATTGAACTACGACTCTCCCTGGAGGAGTTCTTCAACAGCGCTGTGCACCTGCTGTCCCGCCTCGAGGACCTGCAGGAGATGCTGGCCCGGAAGGAGTTCCCTGTGGATGTGGAAGGCTCGCGGCGGCTCATTGACGAGCACACACAGCTCAAGAAGAAGGTGCTGAAGGCCCCCGTGGAGGAGCTGGACCGGGAGGGGCAGCGGCTGCTGCAGTGTATCCGCTGCAGCGATGGGTTCTCTGGGCGCAACTGTATCCCGGGCAGCGCCGACTTCCAAAGCCTGGTGCCCAAGATCACCAGCCTCCTGGACAAGCTGCACTCCACCCGACAGCACCTGCACCAAATGTGGCATGTGCGCAAGCTCAAGCTGGACCAGTGCTTCCAGCTGCGGCTTTTTGAACAGGACGCCGAGAAGGTAGGAAGGGAGCTGCTGGACCGAGCGGCACTTGGGGGAGGGGGCATGTAGCTTTTGAGGGAAACTTAGGCTGCTAGTCCAACTTCCTGATTAATACTTTTGTGGAAAGCTTTAAAAAAATGTGCCTGCTGGGGGCGCCTGGGTGGCTCAGTCATTGAGGGGCTTACTCTTGATTTCAGCTCAGATTGTGATCTCCAGGTTGTGGGATCGAGCCCCCTCTGGGGCTCCATGCTGAACATGGAGCCTGCCTGAGAATCTCCCTCTCCCTCTGCCCCTCCCTACCTTCCCCCACCTGGCTTGTGCATGCTCTCTCTCTGTCTCCTTCTCAAAAAAAAAAAAAAAAAAAAGGAAAATGTGCCTACTGGTTTGGGTTGATCTATTTCAATCATATATTTGGTCATTGATCACTGACTTTAAAGCTCCCCTTATATAGTGTTTATTATGTTCCAGGTAGTATCCTAAGCACCACGTGTAAATTAATGTAGTTTAATCATCTCAAGAGTCTTAGGAGATAGGTGTATTATCATTATCCCATTTTATAGATGAAGAACCTGGCAAGGTCAATAACGGCCAGCCTGAGCAGTGCTAGGCGGTTCCATGGTCCACACTTCTGCACTGTTGCACACTGCCCCTGCCAGGGCGTGCGGTGAGTGGGCCAAGCCGGCTCAGCAACAAAAATAATAATACTGTTGCGACTTAGTGATTATTGTCCTGCAGTGTCTCTTACCATTGACAAAGCACTTTCACAGGCGGTGTCTTATTTAATCTGTGCAGCCCTTTGATCCTTGGAGGTGGGTGGTGGTGTCTCTGCTGACAGGCAGGGAAACGGGTGCTCTTTGATCTTGGGGCTATAATGGCAGACTTGACACATGAATCCCGCTTTCTTCCCTTTGAAGTTCAGGGCTCTTCCTTCCATACCACTTCTTTCTGGAGGTTTTTCCTCAGCTGCTGAGTAGTTTCTCAAGCAAGACCCCATTTTCCCAGCAGTGAATTTTCAAAGCTTTCCCCTTATCAGGGGACATATGAGAAAGTGAAAAAGAAAAATAGAGCGGGCCTCTTTGCCGAAGACACAAAAGTGTCTTCTCTAGATTCTCTCTGAGCTAAAGAAGAGAGTTGACTTCATACATAATAGGCACTTTAAGAAGAGTGAAATGGGTTTTCCTTCTATCAGTTTTCTGGGGAGAACTTATATTTAAATGCATTAACACTACTCTTGGTAATACCATGACGTCTCAGTCACCTGTGAGTTTTACAGTGTCTGATATAATGGTTTTGTGTCTTTTAAGAGCCTGTATTAAAAATGTCTCTAGGTATTTGTAAGTAATGAAATCAGGCTACAAAACTGTGTAGAATTATGATCCCAATTTATGTGAGAATGCCAACGTAGGTGTAAATGGGAAAAAACTCACCACAGTGCTAATTGTTTTGATTTCAAGGGGCCAGGCTTATGGTTGATTTTAATTTGGCTCTCTATTTTTTGTGCTTTCTAATCTTCATAGTTCATAAGCAGATGAAAATCAATACATGTGATTTTTAAAGACTGCATAGCCACTTTCCACAAAGGAACTCTTCAACATCCTGGAAGCCAGTTTCGGGAAGGGACATGTAGAGGGGTTTCTTGCACAAACTTAGGCATTGCGAGGTCTCCCACCGGCCTTCCTGCGGCCTCCTTGCCCAGTGGCCTGGCAGCCAAGGTCCAGTCCTGTCCTGCCCCACCCTGGGAAGGGCACCTGGGACTACAGAATCCCTGTCACTGCTCAGCACATGAGGAGAGACACCAGGGCAGAAGCAGCTGCTCTGTGAAGCCAGAGGCCAGTACTTTGGCTTCTGTGACCAATATTGGAAAGGTCTGGACATCTCCTTTTTACTTGTGGTCTCTTCTGCTCCAGGGAAGGAAATCCACTTTGCAGTCTGGCTCAGGTGCCTGTTTCAAAGAACCAGGGTCAGAAGGGGAGGCAGGGGACTCAGGTCTGCCTAGAAGTGTTCTGTTGGAAGCATTTCACTGAATCCCTGAAGCTCAAGGTTATGGGAAGCCTTCATAGGGCAGATAGTGCCTCTCTCAAAAACAAAGCAGAACAAAACAAAACACCCAGGCCTCAGAAATCCCCAGGTAGGGAAAGCTGACCTTCTAGAGTCAGCCAAGCACCATCAACCAAGAAGTCATTTCTGCCACACATATATCTTCTCAATTCATGCTCATAGATTCTTATGGTGTATTATTGTCCCCATTTCACAGTTGAAGAAAACTCAGAATGGATGCTGACAGGCGCTGGAAGCTCCAAGAGATGAAGTGTCTTGCCCAAAGTTGCACTGTGGGTTAGACAAAGCATGTAGTGGTTCTGTCTCCCAAGCCCACCCAAACTCTGGCCCAACAGCCCTGCTAGCCATCTGTTCCCAGGGTGGGTGCCTCATGCTACCACTGAGCACTGCCTCAGAGCCCCCTGGGGACTCTCTCCAAGCCCACCTTCTAATGCTCTCTGGACAGCAGGGGATCTTAACCATTCTGTGCTATGGATACAAAGTAATATATAGGCATGCAAAATAATTACTGAAGTACAGTGACTCCATTTTTAAAAATAACAGTAACTTTAATACTTGTTTAGGAACATGTTAAATAGCAAGCTCTATTTGAAGTCTTATAACTGCCTTTCAGGGCAACATGTGTGTCTTTCTGTCGATGTCAGAGGCATGAATATTGCTGACATTAATGTAGTTTGCTGCCTACATTCAGAATTGAAGGGGATGCTGTATTTCAGTTCGAGGCTAGTGAAAATCAAGGCATATTTTTCCCCCATCCAAGTACACAATCCTCAGTTCTATGCAGGACTCTAAGTTTAGGATCCATATCCCATGGTGTGTTCATACCATAAAAAGTGTGTGTGTGTGTTTGTGGCATGTGTGTGGTATGTTGGTGTGTGTAGAGAGGAAGGGGAGAGAATATAAAAAATGAAACAGGGGCAGTGAAGGGAGGATGGAAAAGGGCAGCCCAGGAATATTTTGATATTGAGTCAGTGATGAAAACATGGCTCAGGCTTGACCCAGCTGCCACAGAAAATGTGCTGGGTGTGGGGCAGGAGAGAAAAACAGTCCTTTTAAGTTGCTTCAAGATCAATTTGAAATATCTTTGCAGAACCAAGTGCCTCAGCCCTTGACTTATTTGGTGTTTTTGAAGGGGGGTGAGGAGGCTGGCAGTTTGGGGTAAGGGTTGTGTGCACAGATCCACATCTAAACAAGAGTGTGAGGAAATAGTTACTACATGAGCCACTTAGTCTCCTTTCTGGTGGGAGGCTTGTTGGAGGCCTTCATTTCCAGATCTGGGAAACTCTCAGCAAACTGAGGAGACTGGTGACCGCCTAGCTACTATTTTTGTGAGGGGGGTGAGTGCAGAGTCTCCCCGCTGGCCCTGTGGGGTGAGGGCTTGTTTCCCAAGGGCTTGAATAAGAGGTGTTGCTCCCCATTTACCAGCTGGCCTTGGGGAGCGAAGCCATCTTTCCCTCCCACCTTCCCCTGACCTCTGAAATGACTCTTATCTTGGGGGTAGGGTGGGGTGGGAGCCATTTCTCTGCCAATTAAACATTTCTGGAGGAGGGACACTTCCACAGATAATTCATAAGGAAGGTCACCCATTCATTTAATAAACTTCTGTTGAGCAGCTGTCGTGAGCCCCAAACAAGGCACTGGGATAAAGATAAGTAGGCTAGAATTTGTGCCCTGGGACAGCAAGCTGTCACAAACTCCTAGTTATTATTAGTTATGTCTGCTGTGTGCACCCCCTGCCCTAGGCACAGCCTCCACAGCTGGGGAGTTTTTAGAGAGGAGGGAGGTAATGCTGCAGCTCAGGAATGGTAGGAAACCCTCAATGAGCAAGCTGTGGGAGAACTGGGCAACTGAGAGGTGATTCAAATAGCACTCGATTCATCTTATCCGATGCATGGCGCCTGGGTCCTGTGCCCTCCAGTCTGACTCATGGGCCCGTCCTCCACTGCACTGCCTGACCACAGCTGGGCCACTCTGCATTAGCGGGTGCAGGTTATGGCTCTCTTTGCAGACCTGTCTCACAGCCACTTGCCCCCACAGCCACCCAGGGTGGCGATGGGGGTGTCTGCCCTGCAGTCACGTCTCACTGCCAGAGAGAAGGGAGGCTTCCTCCCCAGCAGGGGGCAGTTTGTGCTATGAAGGTCCAGTAGACTTGTTCCTCATCCTCTTGTTGCTTCCATGGAGGATCCTTCCAAGCTGCCCCCCAACCCCACCCCATCTTTCCTGGGTGCCTAGGTGCATCTCAGAATGGCAGAGCTGGAAAAGACCTTGAGGTCAAAAAGTCTCCCTTCCGCACAGTGTGAAGAACCCAGCCTTGTCGTCCTGATGACAGCCATTGTGACCTCACGATGCCCGGCAATGTGCCAATGGCAGTGACTCGTATCAGAACATCAGGAAGCTGCTGCACCATCCACCTTGTGGCATGCAGAAGCCCACCATCTTCCAGTCTTCACGGGAAAGAAGTGCCTTGAAGGGCTCTAGCATATAACGGATTTACCTGATACAGAAACCTTCACCTACTCTGCTCCTGAATTAATCCTGATGTCCACCCAGGAGGCCCATGCTCTAGTCTTGCCCAAAGCCGTTCCAGAAAGAAGTGTATTCTTTCTGTGGATGGGGCTACTCTGCAGGGCTTCCAGTGTTGGACTCATGCTCATTATTGGTTCATGCAGCACAGGGTTGTTGCATGTGTAAAACTGTGCTTGGAATGTGCTCCAGACCAGACCTTTAGTCGGGAAGGTATCTAGGTTCCCACCTCCTCCATGACCAAGGTGTGTGCTCACGGGAGACCATCACTGTTACTTCAAGGAGACTGGCCTCACCACGCTGCCTGTGGCAAAGCATGCTTTGGAGAGCCAAATTCTGAATGCCTTCCTGCATATTCATTCCTGCATGCCAGAATTCCATGCACACCTAAGGGTGCCATGTCTGAGCAAAAACAGTTGTACAGGGATTCAGATTCA